CATCGTTGCTCTTGGACAGAGCAAATCTTTCCATAGAGTTTCTCAGGCTGTAAATCTTTACGGAAGACTCAGCTTTCTCCTTTGGAACAGCTGGTGGATTCAAACCACTGATATTTTGATTAGTAGCTAGATGTTTTAGCAACTAGAACTCTTTATTCCTGACATTGCTCGGTGGTATAGAGTTTGTTCTGTTTTACTCAAGGCCTGGGAAACCTCATACTTCTAAGGCATTTGGGTAAAATATTCACAGGTGTCTTACTTTATAATACCTTCTGCTGTGGTCTTGCCCAACAAATCTGAAAAACAACCCAAAGAATCAATCTCCAGGTATCCCAGAAGAATGCTCAAGAATATTTATTCACGTCTTCAATCCAAAGATTACCAGATATGAAAAGTAGCAGGAAAATGACTCATGATAAAGAGACAAACAAGTTAGAACCAAGAACTAAAAGAATGGTTAGTTAGACAAGGATATTAGAACAAATTTTTATTATTATCTTCAATGTTTTTAAAGTTTTAAAAAACATAGAAGTTTAAAAAGATTCATATCAAACCTCTAGAGATAAAACTTTAAGTGCCTGAGATGGAAAATACACTAGATGAGCTTAATACTAGACATTAAAGTGAAAAGATTTGTGAGCTTGAAGGCTTGAAATAGAAACTATCCAAAAAGAAAAATTGCAACGTTGAGTCAGAACCCACCCACGGCTAACCTTCCATCAAGTTTTCAGAGGCAGTAAATTGTCTGGGAGGAGATCCTTTGTGTTGGCAGTGTTGTTCCTTACCACTAAGCCTTTAGAGCTCAAATGAAACAGCAAGATAAGAGACTTGAGGATAATGAAAAAGCACCAGTGAACTGAGGAACACTTTCAAACACTTAGTATATGTGTAATGGAGTTTTGATAGGAAAGGAGAAAGGAAAAATGTCAAGAGTATATTTGAATTGCTGGAGATTTCCCAAATTTGATGCACACTATAAACTGCAGATTCAAGAAGTTCAGAGAAAGTCAAGCATAAGAAGTTGGATAAGAAAGATTCCAAGACTTATAATCAAATTGCTCCAAACAAATAACAATCTGATACTAATTCTAAACAAACTCTTCTAGAAAATTGAATAAGAGAAAAGAATTCTAGGTCATTGTATGAGGTCAGCATTACACCAAAAGCAGACAAAATAAGAAAGATTCACTAGTATCTCTGGTGAATCAAAACCAAAACCCCAAAGTCATTGCCATCGAGTCAGTTAAAATTTCTGGCGACCCTTTGTGTTACATAGTAGAATAGCTCTCTAGCGTTTTCTTGCCTGTAATCTTTCCTTGGAATTTTTTTTGTTAGTAGTGCAAACTGTTTAACAAAACAAATCCAAATATATATATATATATGATAATATATCGTGACCAGGTAGGGTTTATCCCACCCCAGGCCAACATTTGGTTAATATTTAAAGACCAATCAATGTAAATACGCATGTAAACAATTTAAAAAGTCATTATGTGCATTTCCGTAGACTTGTGGGGGGGGGAACATTTTTAAACCTCACCAACATCAGTTCATGATCTAAAAACTACCAGCAAAGTAGGACTAAAGAGGAATTTAAAATAGCCTCCATTAAAAATCTTAGAAACCAGTATTCTACCTGCTCATCCTTTTTTTTCCCTATGCTTTATTGTTTTCAGTGTCTTAAAGCTTATCTTTGCTTGACTCTTCTTCTGAATTGACTCTATTTAAGTGGAAGACATGGCTTTATATATATACCAGGGTTTTTGTTTTTTCCCTTTTGGGTGACATTCTCTCAGGTTTTCTTCAGCTCTTAATTTTATAGTAGTTTGCTTACAAAGTTTGTATACGTTGTATTTCCCAGTATCCTTTCACATTGTGTTTCATATAATCATTCTCATGAATTATATTTTATAAAATTAACCAACATTGAATTATACCCATTATTACCCTGTCTTTCTAGATCTCCACCAGAACTTTCCCATATACTTTACCCTTCCTCCTTCTACCTACCAAATTAGGCAACCCTTATGATTAACTGCCTCTGAAAACCTGCTGAAGGGTCAGCTATGGGTCTGTTCCGACTCTACAATACACACAACAGCAGCAATTGACTATTGTGTTAATTAGGCAAGTTAATATATAACTACCATATAACTAATATATGCTACCAAGCCGAAGGTGGTATAGCACTGGTCTGTGCGTTGCTGTACAGAGGTAACTCGTGGTTGCTGTGATGCTGAACACTGTGACACTGATGTGCCAAACGTGGTAATGGTAACCCATGGTGGATAGTGTTGGCTGGAGCTTCCCGACAGAAACAAGCCTGAAAGCAGGAGTGGCATCCACTTCCGAAATGGCTTGCCTCTGGAAACTCTATGAACAGTGCTCAGGCCTTTCATTCATAGGGTCGCTTTGAGTCCTCTGTGACTGGACAGCACCTAACAACAACAACAACAACAACAACAAATGTTTATCCCCCTGTCCATCCTCACCCCTCTGCTCCTACCCTCTTCCTCCTTGGATCCTCATAGATGTTTTACTAGTTAACTTTATATTTCTGTAATAATGGTTTTATAGAGTACTTGTCCTTATGAGACTGAGTTCACTCAGAATAATGCTCTCCAGTTCCTCCCAAGATAGGTAGTAATTTTCAACATCATTGCTCTTGTGTGCTGCATAGTTTTCCATTGTGTGAATGTACCACAGTTACTCAATCCATTTGATCATGGTTGAACATTTGGGCTGTCTCCAAATGTTCTTGTGAAGGTGAATAACGCTGCTATGAACATTGGTATACAAATCCGTCTGTGTTTTCAGTTCTGATTTTCTTGGTGTATATACCTAGCAGTGGAATTACTGGGTCATATGGAATTTCTGTGTTCAGTTTTTTTATATAAAAAGGCTGACATATATAGCCAGAAATATACAACTAGGAGAAGATAAAGTTGATGAATGAGACTTTTATCCAACAAAAATATTTTCTTCAGCTCTTAAATCATTATTTGCACAAGTCATGTATCTTAAAATGTGTCTCAGAATTGAGCCCATTGTCATAGATGTAATTACTAGGGATGAAGCAAATGGAAAGGTTTCACTAATAATGTGAGGGAGTCTGAGCATTAGTAAGTCAGGATGGCAATGGTGAGGGCTACAGTAGCAGAACCATCATATCCCAGTCATGTTGCTGAGATCTGTGGGGAGCAGGAGAGCTGTCCAGTCTCCTGCCAGGGTACTTAGTGTCTCCTGCCAGAGTACTTAGTGCAGGTGCCTGGGTCTCTCAGTGCCCTTTGTGAGAAGGGTGGTTCTGGCTGGGCATGAGTGCCCTTTCTCCTATCCTCCCCTCTCATTCATCTTCTTACAGAGCTCATTGTCCTCACTCTGAGCCCTAAAAGCACCCGTCAAAGCCGGGTGTCTTCTTTGCCAACCTTCCTTTGGTCTCTTCATAATCGGCTCTCTCTTCTGCCCCCCGCGCTGCTCTGCGGTTGGTTTCTTCCGAGCTGCTGGCCCCGCCCAAGGGCTGCATTATGCTAGTATGTTGACTTCCGCCCAGAGGGGTGTGTTTTTTTGTCTGATGACGTGGGAGGAAAGTACCTTCAGCAGGAGAAGGCAAAGTTCAACCTGAAAGTCCGCCCCCCCCCCAACCCCGTGCTGAATTTTTTTTTTTTTAACTTGGAAGAGGAAGCAGTGCAAGAAAGGGGTCCTGGTGCCCTTCCACCAGGAAGCGCCGCCTGCGTTCCGCGGGCCCTGCGCCATGGACACAGTACCTGCAACTGTGCCTTCCGGCAGCGCGTCCCCAGGGGACCCGGAACTTCTGGGACCCCTGTCGGTGCTCTACGCAGCCCTCATAGCCAAACTGCTGGAGGTGACGAGCCCCTTCTGGGTGGTTTGGGGGTGGGGGGGGTGGGGGAAACTGCAGTCCTGGCGGGCGAGTGAAGGAGTTCTGAAAGGAGTGGGTACACACACTGAGAGGGCGAGGGAGACATTGGAAACCTGTAGGACCTTGAGGTACAGCTGAGGGAGGCCATTGGCAGTGTGCGCTCGGTTTGCCTACGCACTTTTATTGAGCATTCAAATGAATTGGACACTGTCTGTTACCCTCTAGTGCGCGTACTGAATGAGACCAGCCCAGACCATGTCAGTATGATTCAGCGTGATAAGGTCGCAGGGGTCTCCAAAGTTGTAAATATTTCTTCTGCGGAGCCCTAAGTTGGGTCGAAAAGCAGGCTTTTAGTACCGTGTTTCTGTGGATCTGTTTCCCCAGATCTTGGTCTTGTTAGGGATGGGACCTTTATATGGGGTGTGTTTTTGTTGATAGTGAAGGACCGAGGAAGGCATGTGTTTAATTTGCTGCCTTGGAGGAAACACTGAGAATTAGGCACGAGTTTTTATATACCTTCTATTGGATTTCAGAGATTGCCCAATATTCTTCTACAGAGCTGCTGACGGGTTTCACTAAGTCGCTGAACTTAAGTCACCTGGGATCCTTGAGTTTTTTATAGAAGACTGTTAAATTCTCAGCACTTGAGACCAGTTACCAGAATAGTCTGAACTTATTTGTATGTTTTTGTGTATGTCGAGTGACATGAAATGAAATCTTAAGTGAAATTATACATTATTATTGTTGTTTGTTATCAGTATTTTGCTTTTAATTGCATCCAGATAGATTGTGTATGTTTGAATTTTTTTTCTAGTAGAATGTTTTAAGTAACAGAAAGTAGTATAACTGAGAGAAAAATTGTGATCCTGAAGGATTCTAGCTACATGTTAGCCAAAAGTGGGTCATTAGACCCTTTAGTAAACTGAAGTACATGTGGCATTAAATGTTCACTTTCAAAATGTTTTAAAATACTCTAAGTCAAACAAGAGATACGAGTTTACTGTTTTGTAGTTGAGTTGCATTGGACATTTTTTATGTTGATTTAGAATTTTTTTTGGTAATTGTTTCTTCTTTACTGTAAATAATTTAAAGTCGTCCCATTATCTCTGACATTTTATTTCAGCTAGTTGCCACACTGCCTGACGATGTTCAGCCTGGGCCTGATTTTTATGGATTGCCATGGAAACCTGTACTTCTCACAGGCTTCTTGGGGATTGTTTCATTTGTCATTTTCTTTTGGAGAACCGTTCTTGCTGTGAGTACAATAAATTAATTTACTATAATTATACTTTAACTCTTATTCATTGAATATTATGAACACAAGTTAATTTTATAAACACTACTTTTAAATTGGATTATACATCCAACCTAACCTTGTAAAATAATCAAATGGTAGATTGCAGTGAGCCAGACAATATGTCTAACTCTTGATGGGAAAACATCAGTTTATGAGAAATTTCTTATGTGAAAACTTTAAAATTTAATATCTGATGGTTACATTGTATACTGTTAATAGAAATGAAAATTTACTATAACAGTCTAGAAAAGCAGTTTAATTTGTGTTAAAAGCTATGAAAATATTCCAACTCTTTTATATGACACCACATTTACTAATCTGTTCTAAAGAAATAACTTAAGATTTTATACAAGGACATCCAGTGGAGTAGTGTTTATTTTTGTTTGTTTTATATTGGTTTACATGCAAAATTTGTATACCTTGTGTTTCATTTATTTATTGTGCCGTTGTGTTTCACACATTATGCTATTCACATTATGCTTTCTAAAATTAATCACCATTGACTTATGGCCACTATTACCCCGACTTTTCAGGTCCTCCTTGGATCTTTCTTAATTCCTCAGCTCTCTCTTCCCACCAAACTCTGCAACCCCATGATTCCCACCTCTACCCCTCAGCCCCACTGCCCTTGTCCCTTTCCTCTTGGACTTTTCTACACATCTTGTTACCCTTCTATTTTTACAATAATGGTCTTATGCAGTGTTTGTCCTTACGAGATTGAAATAGTTCACTCATCATAATGCTCTTTAGCCTCTCTCCCCGTTATGTAGTATTTTTTTTAAATTTTTTAAAATTAATTTTAATGAAAGTTTACAGAGACTTTGGATTTCCATCCATTCATTCATTGATGAACTTTTCTCTCCCCATTTGCTTTTCTCTTTGAAAAGTAAAAGTCTTTTTCTATTATACAATCTCTCCCCCCAAGTCCACTCCACTATGCTGCCTTCATTCTGGATGCCTGTCATGACAATAATAGCTAATCATATATCCCTTTTAAACAGTTCTCTCCCTCATCTGTTAATGTAGTATTTTTTTGAAATTGTGGAACAATATTTATTAGTGAAAGCTTAGCAGCAACTTGAAAAATCCATAGTAAAATAGAATTATTATTGTATATGCATATAATGAAACAATAGGTTATCTCATAATTTTTTTCTTTAAGATATAGGCATAGAAAATGCACATGATTTAATATTAAGCAGAAAAAAAGGAGAAATGAATACTTTCAAGTGTAGATACATTTTTAAATTGTACACAGAAAAAACACTTTGAGGACACAACAGACAATGGCAAAAATTTTTATACCTAGGAGATGAAATGCTTTTTATTCATCTGTTTGCTCTCCAGATTTTCTAGTTTGATCATGTGCTGTTATATACAGAAAAGATATTTTTATTAAGAAATACAGGTTATATAGTATTTAAAAATAATACTACTTTTTGTTGTGTCTTTTCTTTCTGTGCAGTTTCTTTTTTTATACTTATACATGAATATGTGCTCACATATACACGTATTTTTGTTTGTACCAGTAGATGTTACTCCTTTACTTTGAATTTTTACAGATTTTGCCTCATTTACTGTATTTTTTCAATACATACCACAACTATATGAATAACACTCCCACATGTAATGTAATGAAGGATAGCATATGTAAGAAAATAGCTGCAAGTATTTAGGGCAATTGTCATTGGCAATAACTGTATAATGTGTTACTTTTATAAAATTTAGTATTTAAGTGTGAAACTAGTCTACTGTATTACTGATTACGTTAATGATAAACACCACCATAATTAGGGTACAGTGCAATTTTATTCTCCCTAAAATTCCTTAATACTTTACAGTCCATCTGCCATACCCCGATCCGTTTTTTTGTTACTGTAGAACAGTATGTCAGCAGAGAACTGCCAGATATACAGGTTGGATTTAGAAGAGGTCTTGGTACTAGGGATATTATAGCTAATGTTAGATGGATCTTGGCAGAAAACAAAGAATATCAGAAGAATGTCTATCTGTGCTTCATTGACTATGCAAAGACTTTTGACTTTGTGGATCACAACAAACTGTGGCTGACTCTGAGAAGAAAGGGAATCCCAGAACATTTAATCGTGCTAATGCGAAACCTATACTTGGAGCAAGAGGCAGTTGTCAGAACAGAGTAGGGTAACTCTGCATGGTTCAATATTGGGAAGGGTGTACGCCAGGGATGTGTCCTGTCTCCATACCTTTTCAACCTGTATGCAGAGCAGATTATCCGGGAGGCCAGGGAGGAGATTTGGTGTCAGGATTGGTGGAAGATCTATTAACAATCTGTGTTATGCGGATGATACAACCCTGCTTGCTGAAACTGAGGAGGACCTCATGCACTTGCTGCAGAGGGTCAAGGACTGCAGCCTTCAGTATGGACTGAGGCTCAATGTCAAGAAGACAAAGATTCTCACCACTGGATCAATTGGCAGCATCAGGATGGATGGCGAAGAGATTGAGATTGTTCACAGCTTCAGTTTGCTCAGCTCCATGGTCAACACTCTTGGCACCAACAGCCAGGAAATCAAAAAACGTATTGCAATGGGAAAGTCTGCTGTTAGGGACCTCTCTAAAGTACTCAAGAGCAACGGTGTCTCTCTGGAGACTAAGGTCTGCCTGAAACAGGCCATGGTCTTTGCAGTCACTTGTTATGTATCAGAGAGTTGGATAATGACTAGGGAGGACAGAAGGAGAATTGATGCCTTTGAGCTGTGGTGCTGGAGAAGAGTATTGAATGTACCATGGACTGCCAAGAAAATAAACAGATTCAACCTGGGAAGGGTTAAACCAAGCCACTCCTTGGAGGCAAGGATTCTCGGGATTCCTCTGACATACTTTGGGCATGTTGCAAGGAGGGACAGGTCCTTGGAGAGGGACATCATGCTTGGGAGGGTGGAGGGACAGCGCAAGAGGGGAAGACCCTCTATGAGATGGATTGATTCAGTGACTGGGGTAATCAGGATGGGTGTGTCAGAGGCAGTGCGATTGGCACAGGATAGAGCAGGGTTTAGGGCTGTTGTACATAGGGTTGCTATGAGTCGCAAATGACTCGACGGCACATAACAACAACAATGCGAAACCTATACTTGGACCAAGAGGCAGTCATCAGAACAGAGCAGGGAGACACTACATGGTTCAAAATCAAGAAGGGGGTCTGTCAGGGATGTACTCCGTCTCCATACCTTTTCAGTATGCATGTGGAACAGATCATCCGAGATGCTGGGCTATACGAAGAGGAATGTGGCATCAGGATTGGTGGAAGAGTCATCAACAGCCTGCGTTATGCAGATGACACAACCCTGCTTGTTGAAACTGAAGAGGACCTGAAGTGCTTGGTACAGAAGGTCAACGACTGCAGCCTTCTGTATGGATTGAAGCTCAACATCAAGAAAAGAAAGAATCTCACCAGTGGGCCAATTGGCAGCATCAACATGGATGGTGAAGAGATTGAGATAGTTAATAGTTTTAGTTTGCTTGGCTCCACAATCAACACTCTTGGTAACAGCAGCCAGGAAATCAAGAGACAAATTGCATTGGATAAGTCAGCTGTGAGGGACCTCTCAAGAGTACTGAAGAGCAATGACATCAGGCTGGAGACTAAGGTGCGCCTGATCTGGGCTATAGTCTTCACAGTTACGTGCTATGCATCAGAGAGTTGGACAGTGAGTAGGGTTGATAGAGAATTGATGCCTTTGAGCTGTGGTGCTGGAGAAGAATATTTAATATACCATGGACTGCTAGGAGAACAAACAGGTTTGTCCTAGAGAGGGTGAAGCTGGAATGCTCCTTGGAGTCAAGGATTCTGAAGCTTCGTCTGACATACTTTGGGCATGTTACAAGGAGGGACAGGTTCTTGGAGAGGGACATCATGTTTGGCAGAGTGGAGAGGTGGCGAAGGAGAGGAAGACCTTCGATGAGATGGATCGATTCTGTGAGTGGAGTGGTGGGAATAAGTGCGTTTGAGATGGCTAGATTGGCACAGGATAGAACAGCGTTTAGAGCACAAACTACTCAATGGCACATAACAACAGCAACAACATAGATTCGTCGTAAATGAAGCCACACAGTGTGTATACTCTCTTTATGTCTGATTTAGGCCAGTTACTTTTGAGTCAAAAAATATGATTATAGCTTTAATTTTTCTTTTGTAATGACAAAAGGTATTCTCGGGGCGGGGGGGGGGGAAGAAGTACTTTTTCTTATAGAATATAGAGAAAGATGCAAAACCAAAACTTGGGAATCAAGTAATCCCACCACCTAGAAATAACAGCTTTCCGTTTTGATGACTTTTTTATCTGTTTTTTTACCTTTACCTTTCCCCCTTCAAAATAGCCATGATTGTACATGAGCTGTAGATACATAGTCATGGTCATGTAACTTTGTTCAGAAAACATCCAGCCACATACATATCCACAGTCTCAACCCCCACAGCCCTATATTTAAATGAAGTTCACACAGTTGTTCATAATAATCAACTTTATTTAGTGCTACTTGTGATGTACATCAGAACATTCTTATTACTGTATTATTATATTAAAGATATTTTATGTTCTCTGGAAGCAGTTTATTTATTTATTTTTAATATATAGGTGTGTATGTTTAGTTAGTTGTAGAGAATTGTGCTAATAATCCACAGCCTGTACCTCTTTGGTGATTTGAATCAACCAGTGGCTCATTAGGAGACAGATGGGCAGTCTCTTTCCTTAGAACTTATAGCCTTTGAAATCCTCTGGAGAATAAGCTGTGAGTAGGTTCTGACTCGGCAACATTGAGAGAGAGAAGACAAGCGTTTGACTGACGTTAAACATGGATTATATTTAACTGTCTGACTTGTGCATAAACTCCAGTTAAAGTCAGGTTTAGAAATTGAACTTGGTTGTAATCCATGTGTATTTAAATTGGTGTTGATACCATGTCCAAACCACATAATACCCCATTCTACAGAACTTACAGTGAACATTAAGTGATTTGTGACTGTACAAATATAATCACCTGTAACATTCTATATTGTGGAGCTCAGGTGGCTTAGTGGTAAGAAGCTGCGCTTCAATCCCGAAGGGCCACAGTTCAAATCCACCAGCTGCTCTTCTGGAGAAGGATGGGCATTCTCCTCCCATTTGATTAACTGCTTCTGAAAACCCACTGGAGGCTCAGCTATGGGTTATGTCTTGATGGTAAACAACAGCAAGTGTATAATTACAAAATTTAGGGATGTTTTTACATACTTCTTTTTAAGATACTTGAAAATTTTACTAAATATTTTCATGAACCCTACACTTTGAGTTAATATGGTGTCATTCTTATTATTAGCTCATGAAAAACATTCAGATAATGTGCTTAAATTATTTGACATTCTAGTTAAGTGAAAGGGTTAACTTCTGATAATAGAGAAGGAAACCATTTTACTTGTAGGGTTCTGTGTTTTGCAAAGTGAATTCAAAACTGATTGCCATCAAGCCACAACCAACTTGTAGCCAACCCTCTAATGAATTTCTAAGGCTGTATATATTGAATGGGAGGAGATTGCCCTTCCTTCTCCCTTTGAGCAGCTGGTGGGTACAAACTGCCTTTGGGTTAGCAGTACACCTCTTAGCAGACTGAGCCGTAGCACTCCCTTTTGCCCAATTGTTGTTGTTGTTATGTGCCGTGGACTTGCTTGCAACTCATAGCGACCCTGTGTACAACATCTCTGAACCCTACTCTATCCTGAGACAACCTTATCATCTCTGACAGACCTACCCCACTGTCCCAGTCACTGAGTTAGTCCATCTCATTGAGGTCTTTCTCTTTCACACTGTCCCTCCACCCTCCCAAGCATGACCTCCCTCTCCAAGGGCTGGTTCCTCCTCCTAGCATGCCCACAGTATGTTCAGACCTTCAGAATCTTTGCCTCCAAGGAGCACCGTGGTTTCACCCTCTTCAAGATGAACCTTTTTGTTCTTCTAGCGGTCCATAGTCGTCTTCTCCAGCACCATAGCTCAAAGGAATCAATTATCTTTCTATCATCCCTAGTCATTGTCCAGCTTCCTGATGTATAGCAAATAATTGCAAAGACCATGGCCTGGATCAGGTGCACCTCAGTCTCCAGACTTACATCATTGCTTTTCAGTCCTCTGGAGAGGTCCCTGACAGCAGATTTTCCAAGTGCAATTTGTCTTTTGATTTCCTGGCTGTTGATACCAAGAGTGTCGATTGTGGAGCCAAGCAAGTATAGCAGGATAATATGACTAGTAATGTTGCTCTCCAAAAGTCTTGGGACAGTTCTTCCTCCTGAAAGTTTCAGGAGCCTGATGTGGGGGATTGGATGATTGGTGGGACAGTGGAGAGCAACATACAATTAAAATGGCTCGGAGACCCACCATCTTTGAGTGGGCACAGCTGCTTTGCTTTCTTCTTGTACTACAATACTACAAGCAGCAGATGGTTGCTATTTCATTTTTGTATTTGATAAGTATTTCATCTTTGCTTATGATAACTGTTAAGGAATCTTTTTGAAATGGTTAAGAACCTAGCTATATCTCCCTTCAAAATAGCTATCTTCATATATTTCAAGTACTTTCAAGCGACGTGTAGACTTGACTTCTGAGATTCTTATTCATATATTAATTTGGGAACCAATGCCACAGTCGTATATTGATGAGTACCCCAATGTCAGAGTTATTTAACAAAACTGTAGAACAGATTATTTGGTGTAAATGAACTTTGCAGATGGAAAGTTTTGAGTGGAAACTTCAAATTAGCAAAACCAGAGTTGCAAATCTGTCTAAATTCAGTATCCTTTTTCTAGTCCTTAATTACATTAGGTATTTTATTACTCTGCTTTCTGTTCAATAAAGCTAATTTTAAAATCACTTTAAAAAAGAAGAGATCTCTCTGCTGGAGAAGGAGGGACAATCTCTTGTAGCAGTCAGATTTGATTTGACAGTGTAGATACACAAAGAAAAAAAACAAAGAACTTTATCTAGATTTCTGGAAGGAGTCCTCTGACCACATAGGGCTTTCCTTCAGATGAAGAAAGAGGAATGACTACAAAGGATGAATGTTGTTATTATATATCATTAAGTTGACTGCTACTCATAGTGATTCTATTCTGTGCCATCCTCACAATCTCTGACATGTTTTACCCCATTGTGTACAGTCACTGTATCAGTTCCTCTTATTGAGGGTCTTCTTCTATTTCTCTGACCTTCCACCTTTACTAGCATGATGCCTTTTCCCAAGAACTGCCTCTTCCTGACAATGCCCAAAGTATATGAAATAACGTTTCTCCATCTTTGTTTCAAAGGAACACATTGATTGCATTTCCTCCAAGACAGACTTGTCTGTTCTTTTGGCAGTCAGTGCATATTCCATACTCTTCCCCAGCACGACAGTTTAAAAGCATCACTTCTTCCTCAGTTTTCCTTATTCATTGTCTGGCTTTTAGAAAAATAGGAAGTAATTGAAAAACCATGGTTTGAATTTGACACACAGTCTTTGGACTGGTATCTTTGCTCTTTAACACTTTAGAGGTCCTTGACATCACATTTTCCTAGTGCAACACATGAAATAATTTGATTTCTTAATTGCTGCTAATATGAGTGTGTGATATTGATCCAAATAAAATTAAATCATTGACAACGTCAGTCTTTTCTCCATCTATCGTTATACTACCTCTTCTAGTGATGATTTTTTTTTGCTGTTGATATGTGACCATGTTAAAGTGTTTCATCTTCTTCAATAAGTACTTCAAGTAATTTTCTTCTTCAGTTCCTGAAAGCATGATTCTGTTATTTGCATAACACCAATTTTTGATAAGTCTCCCTTTAATCCTAACACTACATTCTTCATCTAGTCCATCTTCTTTAATTGTTTGCTTGGCATACAGTTTCAATAGGTGTGGAGAAAGAATACAGCCCTGATGCACACCTTTCCTGATTTTTAAAACATGCTGATTTTACTTGCTTGTGATATTAATGATTTTGGTGCGGGGGGGCCAAGGAATGAGAACTAATAGGGATCTCTTCCAATTACAAAAGAAAAGAAATTTATATTTACCATCCTTGGTTTTTATTCATTACAAGAACCTTAACACCTGTTTAGATTCTCACAAAGTTATGTCCTGCCCTTTGCTCTTCAGTCTCAGCATTTGACTTTTGGAGGCCTAGTTGCTACTCTTGGATGCATAGTCACTGTACCTCCTTACTTTCTTGTACTTGTTAGTTGGAGATAGGGAAAGGAAATCAGCTTTCTCTGTAGGAAGGCTATGGCATTAGAAATTATCATTCTTGGGGAGCTCTGGTGGCCTATTGGCAAGAAGCTGCACTGCAATCCCAGAGGTACATGGTTTGAATCCACCAGATGCTCTGCCGAAGACGGAGGAACAATACCCTCCTGTACCAGTCAGATCTGATTTGACAGTACACACACACAAAATAATATAAAAAAAAAACCATTCTCAACTGTGTTGGAATTTCGAATGTATTTTTCTGCTAATGTTTAGATAACTGAAATAATAGATGTTTTGAGTGTTCTGTAGTCTGCTCTGAGCATCTGGTCACCATTTACATTTTAAAGGGAAAATATATTTTGACTTACAAATAAATGAATGCTTATTTTAATAGATTCCGAGAAAATTTTATTATCCTATAGTTCATTGATGTGTTTGAGGATGCGAATGTAGTTTGGGTAAAAAATGTTTGCCTACACAAGAGGTTGTTTCTCTTGTATGTGCATTTTATTTTAGCAGTCTTCCTTTCCTTTTAGATTTATTTCCTCCCCTCCAGTGGTCAGTGAAATTCAGATTATCTTGATTGTTAGAATTACTACTAAATTCATCTATTTTCCCATTTTGGACAGAACTTCTAAAATATTTTGTAGTGAATGGAAAAAGCTTATGCTTTTAATTCTTTAAAGATATTTTTAGCAGTCATCCTTTTTGAAACTTATTAATAGCTTTGGTTTAAGAATGAAATTGTTTCAGAAATATTGTTCATTAGCATATAGTTATTATGAAAATATTAACTATTTCTGTTAAAAAATATTAAGTACTCATTTATGAAGATTATAAACATCTCTTCAGTTGCAAAAGAAGATAATTTACCTTAGTGTTTTCCTTAGAAACTACTTTGTGACTGTATCACAGCTACTTAAATTTAAAGCACTTTTAAATATGTTTTAGCATCACATCTAATTTTCTTTTTTTCTCCCCTAGGTGAAGCCCAGAGTGTATCAAGGTAAAATTTCAGACTTCTTTTGTCATTGGTTTTAATTCTTTTGTGCTTAGTGTATGATAATGGATTTTACATAAGCTGTATATAGATATAGTGACTTCTAATACCTGATTTACTTACTACTAAATGATATTTAATGGTATTTAAATAATATTAAATGGATTTAGTACAGCTAACTGTATATCAACAGAGAACTATCAGATATACAAGCTGGGTTTAGCAGAGGCTATGGCACTAGAGACATCATTGTCACTGTCAGATATATCTTGGCTGAAAGCAGAGAGTATCAGAGGAATGTCTTTCTGTGTTTCATTTACTGTGAAAAGGCATTTGACTGTGTGGATCACAGCAAATTGTGGCTAACCTTGAAAAGAATGGGAGCCCTAGAACACTTGATTGTGCTCGTGTGAAACCTGTACTCGGAGCAGGAAACAATCATCATAACAGAGAAATGACAGACTGCATGGTTCAAAATCAGGAAGGGAGTGCATCAGGAATGTTTCCTGCCTCCATACCTTTTCAATCTATATATATGAGGAACAGATTATTTGGGAGGCCGGACTTTATGAAGAAGAACAGGGCATTAGAATTGGAGGAAAACTTATTAGCGGCCTGCATTTTGCAAATAACACAACCTTGCCAGCCAAAACTGAGGAAGACTGAAGTGCTTGCTCCAGAAGGTTAAAGACTGTTGTCTTTAATATGGGTTGAAGCTCAACATCTAGAAAACAAGGATTCTCACTAATGGATCAATTGTCAGTACCATGATGGCTGGGAAAGAGATTGAGATTGTTAACAATTTCTTCTTGCTTATGTCTACAGTCAGTCAGTACTCTTGGCACTAGCAGTCACAAAATTAAAAAAAAACCTTAATTTTGTGGGAAAATCTGCTGTCAGGGACTTCTCTGAGTACTGAAGAGCAATGATGTCAGTCTAGAGACTAAGGTATGCCTAATCCAGCCATGGTCTTCGCAATTACTTGCTATATATCAGAGGGCTAGTCAGTGACTAAGGATGACAGAAGACTTGATGCCTTTGAGTTGTGGTCCCGGAGGAGCGTATTGAACATACCAGGTACTGCCAAGAGAACAAATAGGTTTATCCTTCAGAGAGGGAAATCAAGTTTCTCCTTAGAGGCAAAGGTTTTTGGAAGCTCCATCTCACACACTTGGGCCTGTTGCCAGGAGGGACCAGTCCTTGGAGAGGGACATCATGCTTGGAAGGGTGGAGGTACAGCACAGGAAAGGAAGATCCCGGATGAGATGGATTGGTACAGTAACTGGATTAATGTATTGGAGAGAGTGAGATTGGTTCAGAATAAGGCAGGGTTCAGAGCTCTTATGCATAGGATCACTATGAGTCACAGTCCACTCAATGGCACATAACAACTGAGAGATAAATGAGAACAGATTTTAAGAGTATGAAAAAGACTAATTTGGGGCTGCTTGACTTTGAGGAGTAATTGAATAGAATAGTTTAGGAAGCAATTAATTGAGTTTGAAGTTTGGAGGGTTATAGGAATCTGTTAGACCTGGCTTTAGGAAATATGAAAACACTGCCTGTTTAGAAATGTATGACCTAGTGGAAGGCAGAACAGATACTGAATGGAGATATATATATATATATATATATATATATATATATATATATATATATGTGTATATATATATGTATACATACATACATACATCTGTCCCCTAGTTATCTGTTACTCCTATAAAATACATGCCACAAATGGGTGATTTTAATGAAGTTGATAATTTTATCAATTTAGGAATCCAAATTCTGGGTGTCCTCTCTCTAAGAAGGCCCTCTCTCTGTGTTGGTGCTGGACAAAAGTAATTGTTTCCTTCAGCATCAGTAGGCCAGGTGCTGCTTGGAGAGAGCTTTATTTATCTTGACCTTCCCTGATGTCTGAGAACTTCCTGCTTCAGGGACCTGAGTCCAAAAGGACACACAATTATTTATCAGTGGTTTGTAATATCTTTCATCTCACAGAAGATAAAATGGAGGAGAGCCAGGCAAATAAGGGACCTAAGAATCAAAAAGAATTAATCACACCACACTCTAGGGAAACTTCCCCTATATCACATGAGAGCTATAATGTTTGAAGAGTGCTGCATTCCACCATTAATCCTTTTAGAACTTTTGGTCTGTCCGATTATGAGGGATCTTTATATACTATCCACATTACATAATTCTGTATAGTTCAAGGTACACAGTTTAATACATGGCATTGTATCTGTTTAAAAACAAACAAACAAACAAAAAAAATACACAGAAAATCATTGTCATCGAGTTGAATTCATTTCCTGGCAGCCCCATCGGGGTGGTGGGGTGGTGAGGATAGAACCTTGTTCCATAGGGTTTGCAATGGTTGATTTCATTTTTCTGAGCAGATTGCTAGGCCTCTCTTCTGGGCTGTCTGTAAATGACTCAAACCTCCAATCTTTTGGTTAACAGCTAGCATGCTACATTTATATTACATGGAGACTTCATTTATGTCTTAATAGAAGTGTAAATAAAAATGTTATGAATATTTAAGGAGAGGGCTTCAGTGGAGTATGAGTGGAAACATTCACCATGGAAATTGAGAATGATAACGTATTTTTTAGAATGTGATGATTAGATTTTTTTAAAAATTGCTTTGCTTAAAAAAAAAAAGTTGGATGAGAGTATTTCTTATAGGCCGGATTGGCTGCCTATCATATAATAGATTCCCTCCTATAACTGGTTGTTATAGGATTGTAATATTAGAGATAGTGAAGAGCTTAGCCAGAGAGAAGTAAAACTTTATCAGTTGGCTATTACAGAAAATACATTTAGATACTGATTTGAGTTTGATAATGGGATTAAATGATTATTCAAAGAAATTGGAATATTGGACCACATTTTAGGTGCTGTATGTATGTTATCTACCTATAGTATTGGTACTAATGTTAACTAAGAGTTACATGTAATCACACTAGCCAGGTCTAGATTTAAAAAAAATAATATACTGAAGTTTAAGGATTTCTTATCCAAAATGTGAAAGCCAAGATTTTCATTCAGATATCCATAATTCCAAGGATAGGACTGTTAATTAAAAGACAAAGAGATGAATGAATGAATGAATAGAAGAGGAGGGTGAAGAGTGTCTGTTGAAGGGCATGGATAAGAAAAATCTGGGTGCAAAGGTAGATTGGCTTGAAGAATTGGAAGTGTCTTGGCCAGCAGTTTGAAATATTTAATTTACATGAAGTTAGAAAGATTAAGAAGTAAATGGAGCAGGTGACATAGGAGATGGCGCACCAGAACAGCAGTGGAGAGTCCATGTTGTTTTTTAAGGCCTTTGGAAGAAAATAGATGTAAGTTGTATGAACTGTAATGTTGCTATTAAGGGTCTGTCAAGTTGACTAAGGAACTTTCAAAATTGACTGTGACACGTAGCCATCGTATGAACAACCAGTCAAAACTTGACCCTGCCCTGTGCCATCCTCTGATTTCCAACACACTTAAATTAAGCTCATTGTTGCAGTCACTGTGTCAGCCCGTTTCGGTTTGTGCTGGCCCTGTACCTTTCCCAGCAGGATGTATTTTTCCAAGTGACTCCTTAGACTATGAGACAAAGATTCACCATCCTTGCCTTTAAGGTTGCACTTCCTCCAAGACAGATTTGTTTGTTCTTTTAGCAGCCCATGGCATAGTCAACACTCTTCACCAGCACCACAATTGAAAGGCGTCAGTTCTTCCTTATTCTTCCTTAGTCATTGTCCAACTTTCAGATATATAGGAAGCAATGGAAAGTACTGCGGTTTGAATCAGACTTACGTTAGTCATTGAAAGTTTAAGACTAAGTAAATATACCCTTGTTCCTTAGAACTTAAACCCCATCCCTGACAGATTTTCCTATTGGAATAATGGATTTGATTTCTTGACTGCTGCAGCTGTGGGTGTTGATAGTAAGCAACATAGAATGAAATTATTGATAAGTTAATGTTTTCCCCATTTGTCATGATGTTGCCTGTTGACCCAGTTGTGAGGATTTTTTGCTGTCTTAATGCTAAGATATGATCCATACAGAAGATTATAGACCTTGATCATCTTCAGTAATTACTTCAAGTTTCTTCACTTTTTACAAGCAAATTTTGTGTTCTCTGCTTACTGTTAACTATCAAAACTGCTACTTGCCCCACCAGCCAAGTTTGGTTTCGATAAGCCAAATTGACTTTGTGGTCACTGGTTAAGCTAATGTTGACTTTGATACATTTGATACATTTTTACCTTGATACATTCATTGTATAGGCAGCAGTTGCTGTAGTTAATATGAAAAGCAAGAAATAGTATGAATAGTATTTTCCAGACTGTTTTCAATTTTTTTTTGTTCTTTAAAGTGATAGCTTTTAGAGTAAGTTCTTCTTCTGAGAATTAGTTTTTTTGTTGTTTTTGTTGTTTTATTCTTGGTAACAGTTAGGATATTTATTAGGAAATTTAACAGATTAAAACTCAGGCTGGAAACGGGCTACAATTCTTCACTCAGGGTAGCTTCTTTCAAGTGTGCTCACAGGCTCTTTCTGTCATTACTATTTTTAATAATCAGAATTATTATGATTAAAAGATTGAGAAGATTTGTGATGAAAGTTCACTCTTAAAAAATTTATATAGGGCTTAATCCTTGTTACTTGGAAGGAGGAGTGGTATCCACTTCCGTAATAGCTTGCCTCCGGAAACCCTATGAACCTGGAGAGAGGATGAAAGGCACCCAAGTGTTGAGGACTCTCCTTCATAGGGTCACTGTGAGTCGCCTGCAACTCAACAGCACTTAACAACAACAACAATCCTTGCTACATGCCTTGTTGCTGCTTAAGTATTGAAACATTTGTATTTTATAGGGAAAATAAGGTATTAGCTGATGCTGTTATGATATACATTTCATAAATATGGCCAGTGTTGATCTAATGCTTTAGTTAAGACATTATATTTTTTAAAATTGATAATTTGAAAACTTTTTGTTGCTGATTTGCCATTGACTAGAAATATATAAATTCATTTGCTCTCGTTTCCTCTTTGAAAAAGGGAAATTGACAACTATTTGAATTGATTCTTTTTCTGAGAAGAAAGGTACTTAGGGAAGGGAAATATTTGAACTATTATTTTTGCTATATTTTTCCTGTTGAAATAATTCCAATTTTTCTTAAATTGTAATCTTTCTACATTTTCATTTCTTTTAAACACTGATTGTTTTATAGGACCATAGTATTTAGCCTAACAAATTCTTAACATTCATAGTGCCAGACAACATGCCTTTTTTAGTAATATATCGGGGCAGTTAAATTTTTATTTAGTAATCATAACATGTCTTTGGTTTTTCTCCCTCTTAGTTTCTGAACAACAGATTGCTGAAAAGATAAAGAACATCATAAAAGAAAATGCAGAACTTGTAGAAAAATTGTCAAATTATGAGCAAAAGGTACAATTCTTTAAGTTTGTTTATTGTTATAATTCCAACTTGAATTACTTCTATGTACTCGTGGTTAGGTTATTTTAAAATTACATTTTCTAATTTCATTATTATCTCTACACCATCTGAATCTGATGTAGTTACCTTATGTATACAGTACTGCTTTCTTCTGTCACTTGAAGATAAATTTTGCTAGCACAGTAATTTCTTTTTCCTAATTCTGAATGCCTTATTTTGTATTTCTATAGATCAAGGAATCAAAGAAACATGTTCAAGAAACCAAGAAACAAAACAGAATTCTCTCTGATGAAGCCATTAAGTTCGAGGTAAGAACTTCTTCTCAGGAGCCACTTTAAAAGTGGCTTGGGTATAGAACAGTGACCTCCACTCTAACTTCACAAATAGAAATATTCCTCAGCAACAGTATCAGGCCATGTTTTGTGAGGTCACACATGCCTTGACACCCTATATTCTCAGCTTTTCTACCAGTTCTGATGCCAGTTCTCCTTCACACTGCACCTCCTACTTCTCTACTGGGCTTAGTAATTTCTTGTAGTGGTCATACAGAACACACAGACAGTAGTCATTATGGGGTTAATTAAGGAAGTAACAGATTATATTTCAGGATTGGGCACACTTAGGATATAGTTCTTTAGTCAGGATGGCCTCCCCTCAGCCATGCCAACAGGAAAGACTCTTCTATCTGGTGCTTGGCCTCTGCCGTGTTCTTGGAGGTGTTACTAAGTTCTTTAAACTCTGCTAATTTTGTAGCCAGAAGTACTCAGACTCTACCAGTGAGCCTAGGCCAAAATTCCCCTGCCTCCTGTCCATAGATTGGCAGGCCTTATTCTCCAATAAATGCCCTAAATTTCCCATTATGCCAGCAGATACTCAGCTTTCTCACTCCCTAGACTTTGGTCTTCTGCCATCTCATGTTCTCACACTATCACTCCAGTGTTACAAATCTCTGTCTTTTCTGGTTCATGCAGTGACCTCAGGCCCAGAGGACGGACTACCCTTTCTGACTCTCTTAATGGTAGTGAGATCCCCGTGTTAGTCCTGTGTTATGGAGCATCCTGCCTGGCTCAGAATGGAAAAGCTGACCAATCTCTCCATTAGCATTATACACATCTTATGTGAATGATCTCACTCCAGTTGTGCCAGGCCCCTTGGTGGGCTATAGTCAGTTCACAATTGCATAGTCTGATCCAGATATGTGGCATGAAGAGTCACATTAAGAAGTTGTTGTTGTTGTTAAGTGCCGTCGAGTCTCAGGTGACTCATAGCGACCCTATGAAGGAGAGTGCTTGACGCTTGGGTGTCTTTCATCTCTATCCTGGTTCATAGGGTTTCCAGAGGCAAGCTATTACGGAAGTGGATGCCACTCCTCCTTCCAAGCTTGTTTTAATCAGGGATCTCCACCCCACTCTCTGTCCGCGTTGGGTGACCAACCATTAACGCATTTGAGACATTAGTGTCACAGTGTTCAGCCTCACAGCAACCACAAGTTACCAATGTATGGCAAGTGGACACACGAGGGCTATACAACCTAGAGGAATGTATGAACAAATACAATGAAAGACAGGCCCGAGGACAGTGGATTAAAAGTCACCCACCTTGGCTTGGTAGCATCTTATTCTGTCCTCTGGGCCAGATGATTTCTCTCTATGTTGATGTTATTGTTGTTAAGTGCCATCGAGTTGCAGCGACTCATAGCGACCCTATAAAGGAGAGTCCTCAACACTTGGGTGCCTTTCATCCTCTCTCCAGGTTCATAGGGTTTCCAGAGACAAGCTGTTATGGAAGTGGATACATTAAGTAGTGACACTCTAATAATTAGATGTAATATTTTTATTTGTAGGATAAAATCAAAGAACTTCAAGAAACAAATCAATTTCTGGATGGCAAAGCTGAAAGTCTGCGGGTCATGTTAGAATCTGAAAGGGAACTGAATGTTAAGAATCAGGACATGGTAAGACACTTGCTATTACTGTCATTTGATGAGGGGTTGAATTTTACATTTTTCTATGCTTTTCATTAATATCAAGAGTGATGATTCAGGAAGTTGAACCTACTTTTGCCCTATTTTTTGAAATTTAAAGTTCTGACACCACAAATTCTTCTTTTAATGCATATAGAAAGTATTTTTCCTGTCAACTTCCAGAACTTTTCATGTTAATTTGACTTTGCTTCCAGAAATAAGCAAATGAAAAACAAAAGTCATTTAAAAAAATCTACCATTTATTTTGTTTGGCATGTTTCTTTTTTAAAACAATATCAGCAACCAGTTTTAGAATAATTTTAGAATTATGCTCAAGATGCAAAGGTAGTTCACAGGATTCCTGTATACTCCAGACCTAATTAAGCTTAATCGCAGTCCAAAGTGATACTTACCAAATTTTTCCACTATAAAATTACTGTTTCCCCTTCCTCCCCCCGCCCGCCCCCCCCCCCCTCAAAATACTATGCTCTTTGGTGGGAAGATACTTTTTAGAGAGAGAAACATTAGTTTCCACTTCTTTGAGGGGACTGTATCTTCCAAAATTATGTAGAAATGATCTGTGTGGCAAATAACGTTCGCAAGTAACACTATTTTTTAATTCAGACTAAAGAATTTTTCAAAGTGACTTTGGGTTTGATTGGTTATTTTTTTAAAAACCATTAAGAGAAAGCATAAATTTTAACTATTTTCTTTGACAGTATTCAGTATTTATTTTTTTCCGTTTAGTCATATTCCACATTCTCTTGCAATCAAGAAGATGTCATAAAATCATTCTAAATACTTTCTTTTTTTTCTTTATGTGTTTCTATTCTTGCCTTATATTCTAAACTGATTCCCTGATTTTACCTGAAAACATGGCAGATGGCTCTGGATTATGTTTTCTTAATATATTTTGTGATTATTTTTTTCTTCCTTTAAATATGTATCATATATTCCACTGTTTCTATAGTGTCTTAATAAGTGTTTTATATCTGTTTTTATGTGGCAGATACTAGAAAATAAGAAATCTATGGAGAAGTTAAAAGACGTTATTTCAATGAATGCCTCGGAATTTTCAGAGGTAAAGTTTCTGAAAGATCTTCATGCGTTTTAGTTTTTTAATGGAGAGAATATTTATTATAAGAAGGAGAATGACGCCTTTGAGCTGTGGTGCTGGAGAAGAGTATTGAATGTACCATGGACTGCCAAGAAAACAAACAGATTCATCCTAGAGAGGGTTATACCAGGCTGCTCCTTGGAGGCAAGGATTCTGGGGCTTCGTCTGACATACTTTGGACATGTTGTAAGGAGAGACAGGTCTTTAGAGAGGGACATCATGCTGGGTAGAGTAGAGGGATAGCGCAGGAGGGGAAGACCCTCTATGAGGTGGATTGATTCAGTGACTGGGGTAATCGGGATGGGTGTGTCAGAAGCAATGAGATTGGCACAGGATAGAGCACGGTTTAGGGCTGTTGTACATAGGGTCGCTATGAGTCGCAAATGACTTGACGGCACATAACAACAACAACTATATAGTATCTTCAAAAAAGGAAAAGTATATGATATCTGGCTCAGAATATAACATTTTCAGTTTTTCTTTGGAATTAATTCATTAATAGAAGTATTTTTCATTAAGGTTCAGATTGCCCTGAATGAAGCTAAACTTAGTGAAGAGAAGGTGAAATCTGAGTGTTATCGGCTTCAAGAGGAAAATGCTAAGCTTAAAAAGAAGAAGGAGCAGGTAAAGACAAGTTAATGCCATGAGTTATGTCATTTAGGAGGGGAATGTTTTCGTCTCTTGACTGTCTTTTCTCAGCTCATTTTTAATGAAACAATACAGGATTTGTATGTGGTTTTCACAATTTTAACTGAATACGTAGGTATGTTTCCCATCTCTTCTGGATTTCCTGTTGTTCTGTAACAGTTTCTCATTGCTGTCACGTGCTACTTAATCTTTGTCATGTCCAACATCAACCAATTATTAAGTAGCCTCACAGGGATGATACACTTTTTAGAAGTGATATTTTGTAATACTTTTTGGACAGTTTCTGTTTAACTGTGATGTGCACTTCCTATTCATATTGGAAGTAAACTCTCTGAATTGTTTACAAAAGAAGTTTTTGAAGAGTGTCTTAACCTGAATCAGCTTCTTTGAAAGCTCTTGTATTCTCACTGTAGTTCTCATAGTTCAGATTACCTCTCGCTTCTCCTTACTTCCAAGGCCTTCACCTATTGTGACAAGCCAACAGAAGGCTCCATACCACCCTATTTCATGCACTTGGTCCGGATGATCCCACTGCCAGAGCGCTAACTTTAGATAATTTATGTGTTTCAACTTTTCAGTTGCAGCTGGAAATTGAAGATTGCCGTAAATCACATGCTGCGCTCAGTGAGCAAATCCTGTCATTTCAAAAGTCTCAGAAAGATCTGGAAATTGCTATGACACACAAAGATGATAATATTGATGTAAGTTCATTGTCGGAAATGAGTTTAAATCTGCTTGATTAAAATTAAGGAACTCCTTTCTGGTACCATTTTTGCTTCCTTTTCAGGCTTTGACTAATTTCATCACACAGTTGAATAAGTTCAGTTGTGAAGGTGAAGATCAAAATAAAGGAGGAAGTGGGTCAGATGAATTAGCGAATGGGGAAATGGGAGGTAAGAACAATATTCAGTAAGTTGGATTCCTTTTAACTCTTCAGTTTTTTGAGTCACACATGGCCAGTTTTCACCTTGCTCAGTTCCTTCTTGTGCTTAGGAGTTGTAGAGACACCAGTGGATAAAGGAGGACGTAAACACACACATCTCTCTATTTGCTTTGGGTAGAGGTAGATTTCTCTGTTACTCAAAAGGTCTCCATAGTCCTGTCATTTCAGAAGTGCATGTCCAATCCGCGTCTCAGTCTGTCTTAGTCTGGAAACTCTCCACCATGGATGACCGTTCTGGTATTTGAAATACTGGTGGCATAACTTGCAGCATCACAGCAACACACAAATCAAGTTAGTACAGCAAACTAGCAGACAAGTGTTGTGCCCAAAAGAGCAACCTATAAATATGTCAATACACACATGCACAGACTGTAAAATAAGCAGCAGTTGTTAAGCTACCTAGTACCCTAAACAACACCACCTAACAACAACAACAATGAAGGTAGGTAGCTAGAATGTTTATAGCCATGAGCATGCATGGAACACGCTCTGTTCTATACACAAGTAATATCTCTCATTAAGAATTCGCTATACAAAGAGTTGGAAACAACCCAAGTACCCATCAACAAACAAATGGATAGAGAAGCTGCGGTATATTCACACCATGGAATACTATGCTGCATTGAAAAACAAGGAACTCATGCAATATTGTACAAGATGGGTGACCCTGGAGGACATTACGCTGAGTGAAATATCTCAGTCACAAAAGGACAAATACTGCATAGTGCCACTGTTATAAAAGAGAACTGACGTAGGGGTTGAGGGGAGACTGAGAAAGATGGGATAAATTATGTATACTACATTGAAACAGATGACAGAGAAAACTGTTTAAAAGGGATATATGATTAGGTTTTATTGTTATGACAGGAGTCCAGAATGAAGGCTGCACAGTGGAGTGGACTTGCGGGGAGGGATTGTATAACAGTGAAAGAATTTTTCTTTTACTTTTCAAAGAGAAGAGTGAATTTGGTGGGGAGGGAGTGGGCAGGCAGAAAAGTGCAAAAATGAATGAATGGAAATCCAAAGTCTCTGTAAACTTTCATTAAAATTAATTTAAAAAAAAGAATTTGCTATGTGTGCTGGAACTGAAGCAGTAGTTGTATCTTCTGTTGATGAACATGAACCATCAGGAGAGAAACAAAGGAAACCTGATGATACAGTAGTTAAGCACCTAGCTTTTTAACAATAGTTTGATTTCACCAGCAACTCTGAGAGAAAAGCAAACTCATGACAGTCAGCTTCCATACAGATTACAGTCTTGGGGACAATTCTACAGTGATCTGCAGGGCCACTCTAAAGTGAAATGAACTTGGTGGCAAGGTGTTTGATATTGAAAAACTTGTTTCTTAACTCCATGGAGATTATGGTTGATTTTTCAAGGTAATATCTTCCTCTGTTCCTGCCTTCTCATTGGTGCTTTTGGTTCTCATGTAATTAATTATTTGAGGGCACATTACTAATATTTTGCTTTCCTGTGTATTACTCTTTATTTTGTTGAAAGGGAACCTGAAGAAATAGTTTCATTTCCATTTTCAGAGGTTACCTTAGGGAGATAAGTCTCAGAGGTTCCTCTAGTCTTTATCAGCCTTACAGGAAATCAGTCCTTTTCACATCTTCCATTTGAGTTTTGCTGTATGTTTTTAATCCCATTCTATCTGGGATCTTTTGTGTCCCTGGTTAAAACATGGTAGAGGTAGCCAGACACTATCTAAATCTAATCTCAGATTAGAAGAGATTTTGGTTCATGTGGATGGTTTATCCGATAAATGAAATTTCATTTTAATGCTCGTCATCTCAAACTCACACCATGTAAGAAGAATAGTGAGGTGGTGAGTGGACTAAATAAGCCCATGGGAGTGGAAGCTGAAGTGTAGCATTGTTAACTAATGAAAGAATGCACTGTTTTCCGAGTTAGAGATACTTAATGAGTATTTTGACCCATACTTGGTAGCAGATTCAAGGGGAGAAAGGAGTGCGTTGTTCTGAATAATACATTGACCCAGGTGAAGTCAGCTGTGGGAGAGAAGAAAGAGCTTTTCTCTCATACAGCTTATCTTGTGCAGAACCAACATGGATAACATTTTTGTAAAAACTCATAATTTGGGTTTTTTTAATCTTAATTGGCAGTTCTCTTTAAAGGTCAGTGAAACTGATCAGTCTTACTGGTTTTTCATTTTCTTGCAAATGGCTTAGTTTTTTGAGATCAAGAACATAGAAGTAAAGAGCATGGGAGGAAATAACAATTAAAGCCTTTTGTTTTTTTAGGCGACCAAAGCGAAAGGATGAAAAATCAAATTAAACAGATGATGGATGTCTCTCGGGTATAATCCTTTTCACAGAGAGCCATGCATGAGTGCCTGTGAGTTCCTTCCATGACATACGATTAAGAATGCTTCTCTCTTCTGCAATTTTTAGACAAAAACTGCAATATCCGTAGTTGAAGAGGATCTAAAACTTTTACAAACTAAGCTAAGTGCCTCGCTGTCTACTAAATGTGATCTGGAAGGTATGTTGCTTCTAGGGAAGATGTTGTCATATGTCAGAAATGATTTTGCATTAGAAAGATAACAAATTGCTTTCTGCTGTCATAGATCTCACCTATTTTAATTCTACCCCTTCCACTAAGTTCTCAAGTACACATGCAAACACAAGTAATGTATATTTTTTATCCCTTACAGAGCAAGTGAAAACATTAGAAGCTAATCGCAATTCACTGCTGTCTACCAAAGCTGGATTGGAAGATGAATGCAAAACCCTGAAGCAGAAAGTAGAGATTCTAAATGAACTCTATCAAGAGAAAGAGATGGCTCTACAAAAGTAAGATCTTAATTTTTTTCGTTGTTAAAAATATCTTATAGGACTTCATGAGTGTACATGCAAAAATTTGTATACATTGTGTTTCATTCATGTACATTATGTTTTATACAACCTTTTATTTATTGTTGTGTTTCATAGAATCATCCATAGACATTGTACTATTGTAAAAATAGATAACTCAGAAGTGTATAAATATCCAAAAAGGGATAGGAAATGGCTGAATGGAACGGGAAAAAGTAACTGGTGGATTTGAACCATCTGCCTTTGGGATTGTAGTGCCGCTTGTTATCACTAGACCACCAGAGACCCTGTATAAATGAAATACTTCTGAAAAACAAAAAGGTAGTGGTAGGCACGTAGCATCCCTGACCTCAAAACCTGCTAAACAGTTGTAATAACCAATACAGCATGCTTCTGGTACAGTGGAAGATACACAGAGCAATAGAACAGAATCAGGAACCCAGAGATGAAGCTATTTACATACAAGCAGTTGATATTAGACAAAAAAATAAAAGCTATCAAATGAGGAAACTAAAGCTGCTTTAACAAATGGGGCAGGCAGAGCTGGTGCAGATCTACATCTTACCATACAGAAAATCAAGTCAAGGTAGAAACTTAGAGGTAAAGCCCAAAGCCATAAAGATCATAAGAGACAAAAATGGAACCAAACTTAAAAGGCCTAGCTTGTGGTATAAATAGGCTTACAGATATAGTCAGAAATACACAACCAGAAGAGGACAAAATTGACAAATGGAACCTAGAATGAAAACATAGAGAAGGAAACCAAGAAAGGAATACCATTTGCAATAGCCAACCGCAAATGGAGATACTTAGGAAAAAACCTAACTAGAGACACAAAAGGTCTTTACAAAGAAAACTACAAAACACTTCTGCAAAAAACAGTAAAAGACCTAAATAAATGAAAAATGTTCCCTGTTCATGGATAGGAAGGCTTGATATAGTGAAAATGACAGTCCTACCAAAAGCAATCTACATGTTTAATGCAATTCTAATATAAATACAAATGCCAAATGCTCTTTTCAAAGAGATTGAAAAGGCAATTGACAAGGATATTTGGAGAGTAAAGAGACCCTGAATAAGCTAATTCCCAGTTCTCAAAAGCTACTCCACAGCAACAATAACCAAAACAGCATAGTACTGACATTTAGACCAATGGAATAGAATTGAGAATCCAGAAATTAACCTTTCTGTCAAAGGTCAGCCGATATGTGACAGGGAAACAAAACTTGTCAAATAGGAAAACAACAGAGCTGGCAAAACTGGACTGCTACATGCAGAGAACTAAAGCAGGATCCACATCTCACACCATACACGAAAATAAATTCAAGGCACATCAGAGAGCTAGGGTAAATCCCAAAACCATAAAATTTTAAGAGACAAAACGGGACGAACCTTCAAGTGCTTGGCCTATAGTATAAAGAGGCTAAAAATAACAGCCGGAAATGGACAACAACCAAGAGGTTATAAAATTGATGAATGGAACCTTGTGAAGATAAATCCCTATGAACATCAAAACCTTTTTTCCAACAGGGTGGGAAAAAACCAGCTGACTGGAGGAAAACAGGTTGCAATTCCATCTCAGACAAGGGTCTCATAACACAAGTTTATAGAATCCTACAGGGATTCTAGTAAAAAGACATAAATAATTCCACAAAGTAAAAATACTGGTAACAAAGTTACAAAATGGGCAAAAGATATGGAAAGACTTTTCACAGAGGAAGACATTCAAATGGCCAACACACACATGAAGAAATGCTCAGAATCACTGACAGGAGAGATGCAAATCAAAACCACAATGAGCTACTACTATCTCACCCCAGTAGCACTGGTAAAGTTTAACAGGACAACAAGTAATAAATGCTAGAGAAGATGTGGAGAGATTGGAACTCTCATACACTGTTGATGGGATTTTAAAATGGTACAACCACTCTGGAAGGTAGTTTGGCATTTCCCCAATAAGCTGAATATAGAAATTCTGTATGACCTAGCTGTTCCACTTCTAGGAATATACCCAAGGGAATTAGAACTGAGGCACAGACAGAGCTTTGTACAACCAGTGTTCACAGCAGCATTATTCACACTCTCATGAGCATGGCAACTGCTGAAATTTCCAACTGCTATTGAATGGGTTGAGAAATGTTGATACATTCACTGATAAAATACCGCACAGCACTCAGGAGCAACCATTTTGAAAAATACCACCTAACTTGGGAACGACTGAGTGAACTGGGGAAAGCGAAGTGAACTAACTCAGACCTATTAGGATAATATTCCATAAGACCATTATTTTAAAGATAAAAGGATAACTATTAAAATGTTTATGGTGGTCCAAGGAGGGAAGGGTGGGAGCAAAGGGATGAGGATGGGCAGGAGGTATCACAGATCACACAGTTTGGTGAGTAGAGGGAAGGTGTGATCATAGGCATGGTTCAGTGGTGGTTAATTTTATAAAATACCATGCACGAGAATGATTATATGAAACAAGATGAATGAAGCAAAGTGTGAAACACCACATATAGGAATTGTGTATATAAACCACATAAAATAAAAATTTAAAAAAAGAAAAGAACTGATGGTAATAAAGTAGAAGTTCAAGCTTCACTGGAGGCATTGGCAATAAGACCCCAGGAATTAATGGAATGGTCATCGAGTGCTTCAACAGACAAATGCACCCCTACTCACTAGTCTGTTTCATGATATTTGGAAGTCAGCAACTAGGCCAGTTGACTGGAAGAGAGATGCATTTGTTTCCATTCCAAAAAAATATGATTCAGAAGAGTATGGAAATTATCAAACAATATCATTAATACTTCATCAAAGTAAACTCTTCCTGAGATTATTAAAACATGACTGAAATATCTGCAAAGAACTACCAAAAATTCCATTTGAATTCAGAAGAGGCTGTGGTATGAGGGATATTGTTGCTGATGCCGGATAGATCTTAGCTGAAGCAGAAAATACCAAGAAGATTTTGTGTTAACATATAATAAAGTATAGGTAAAGAAGAGTAGACATCCCAGAACACTTAATTGTGTTCATATGAAACCCATACATATGCCAAGTAGCAGTTGTCCAAACACAAGTTGTGCTCAACTCTTAATAGCTTTACACCGTCTTCCGAGGTACCTGCTGCACCTTGGATAAAAATGATTGCAGATGCCAGGCTTTCCTAAAATTATGATGTCTCTTATTCTGCTGGCCCATAAGCTCATTTTGTCTTCACTGCCATTTAACTGGCTCTTAACTTCAAACACGTTTTTCACATTTTACCCTGCATTTCTGTTTTTGTTGTTGTGTTCTCAGACTAACTCATTTATTAGTAGGTGGAGAGTTCTAGTTTTTCCTTTAGGATTATTGTCTTACATCCTTCCTAAGCCAAAATTAATGGTGGTTCAGTTCTTACGTGCATGTTTGACACATTAAACTATAAACTCCTTTATCTGAGACGATTCTTTATAGTTGTATTTTTAGTGTCTTACTCATTAATCAGTATATTATAGGCACTTGATAAAGTATTTGTTGAGGTACTGGTGAATGTCTTAAAGGATGCATAAATATTTTTTGTTTTGGTATTAATAAACCTTTTTACTACAACACTTCTAATTTTACATCCAATCATTAAAAAAATAATTTTTTAAATTACTTTTAATGAAAATGTCATAACTACGTACAAGGAAGTACAGGAAAATAACTAGAAAATAATATGTTTTAAACCATTAAATGTTGCTACTTATATGGTCTATATTAAAATCTACTGATTATAGGACAGTTTGAGTTTATTTTTTGTTTGACATTACCATTGTGAAAAAATCCATTTTTCTTAGTCATGATTCACTTGAATTGTAGATAGTTGGGGTTCATAACCAGAGTGGAAATGTACTGTGGTTTGAAAATTGACTGTCAAACTTGTTTTTCCCAGCTGGGGTGATCTGGTGGCAAAGGCTTCAGGAAACTGCACTGCTAATTGAAGAGAATTCTTTCTGGTGGTTTGAATCTACCAATAACTTCTTGAGAGATGGCCGATCTCTTGGCATTAGATTTATAATCTCAGAAACCTGCTGGAGTCAGTTCCGAGTCAATTCTAGATCGATGGTAGAGTTTGAATATGATCATGATGTTAACCTTGGATAAAGAAATAATCTTTCCATGATAGAAAAAAGTAGAAGGAATAGCTCTTTCCACAGTAGGCCTAAAAAAATAATTATTTCCTTTGCCCTGGTAGTACAGCTGTGGTGTCTCTGAAGGATCAGCTCTGAGTTAGAATCTACTGCACAGAAATGATTGTGTTATCTTAATTGGCTTTGTTGTGTTAGGTTGATCAGTTTTGGTGCTCAACATTGAAATCCAGTGAGCATCCATCATCTCAACCACAAAGGGTGCATAGTGATTTTGATTCATTTTATTCACTAGTTTAGAGAATTATGAGGCATTAGACCATGCACATGACTGAACAGCAGATTTGAGTTTGTCTTTTATCCTCAGATTACAAAACAAAACAAGCATAGAACAATCCAAGGCCAATGAATCGATGTGATTCACAGCAATCCTCTTTAGGGTTTCCAGGGCTGTAAATCTTTGTGCGACAAAACTACTCCCTTTTCCCTTGAGAGAAGCTGGTGGATTCAAATTTCCAACCTTTCCTTTACCAGAACAACCACGACACAGTACACTAATTCCTTCCTCTGAATTTGTTTCTATATCTATGCATTTTAGACAAGGATGGGAAGTGATTTTTTAAAAAAATTATTTTATACTGGTTTAGATACAGAATTCTTACACATTGTGCTTCACACATCCCTCTATTCCCATTGTGTTTCATAAAATAAATCACCTTTGATCCATACGTGTGTTACCCCACCTTTTCAGGTCCCCAATGAATTTTTCCTAATTTCTTTAACACTGCACTCTTATCTACGTAACCCTGTCCCCTCATTATTTTCCCTACGTCTCCACCCTCAAACTCCTCCTTTCTACTCTTC